AAAGCTAAAGGGTACGATTTGGAGATTTCTCGTGTTGTGGGGTACAATTGGCACCTTTAATGGTGAAGTTGCACCTTGTGGGGACTAGAGTCACCCTGTTATTAAGAAGGCGAACATTTGTACTCCGTGCGCAGCATGTGTTGATCACGCTTGTAGGGGTATGACAGACGGAAACTATCATCGCCCCCGTCGGAGTACATTTGTACCCCATAAACATTCTCACGGTCACCCCGAAGGGGTAACTGAAGTCCTGCTTTTATGGCAGCGGTCTCAGACAGCAGACGACGCAAGGGCCGCACGGGTGGGACTTCTCTCTCGCACTTACGCGGCCCCTCATAGCAGCATCTCTTTGCCTCGGGGCCGGTTGTGGCCCGCAGGCCGCCGCCAGTCTGAGACCATTGTATTATGGCGTAATGTGGTCCCGAAAGGGGGACTAATGTCACCGTGCATGCGGTAGTGGGGAAGGCGAGCGCGCGCTGGCGAACCCCTCCCTCCCCCCCCCCCCCTTTCTGCTAGATTCAAATCTGAGGGGTTCCCCACTAACTAACGAACTCGTAACGGCTGGACCACCTACCCTATCGACGTGAAAAGATAAGGGCAGTGCTCTAATCCAAGCTCGAGACGCCAAAACCGGTTTGGAAGTGCTACTTCCCCCGACACATGTCACTTTTGAAAGGAAAAATTGTTCAACTGCATTTACCGTGAGACTGTGAATCGAAATGTCAACATTTGACAAGGTATCAGCATGTGGCTTGCTTGATTAACTTACGAGAGCGAAGTAGCCTTGCACGTAGGAGCACGACTCAAGGGAGCAGCAGCAGCACCCATCCTGCACGCGGGGCAGTTGCAGCTGGGAAGGCATTTTACACCTGGCTGGCACCTGGCAAAAAAAACAAACAGGACAGATAGCGTAAGTCCTCTCGGCGCTACAGAACACAAAACATTAAAAAGGGAAATTTTTCCTCAAAACTGATCCGTTCTTGTCCAATACCATTTGCTTAAAACAGAGTATTCCAATTTTAAGAAAAATTGAGGGAACCAAGACCGACCGATGCAAATCGAATCTAGCAATCGGCAAGTTAGCACCTATCAAGAGACAATAGGGTATTTCACCTGAAGCAAACCGGATCCAAAGAAGAACAAGAGTTCTTCCTGAACTCTTTGCTCCTTGGCGCTCATTGGCCGATGCCGACGAAGTTCTCGGACCCGACACTAGGGGTCGACCGCCCTTGCGGCCAGTTCATGAACTTCGTCGGCGTAAGCCAATCAGAGCAAGGGAGGAACGAGTTCAGGAAGGGCTCTTGTTCTTCTTTGGATCCGGTTTGCGTCAGGTGAAATACCCTATTGCTTTGTGTATCAGTAAGACCCACATTTGTCACTGATTAGATTCAAATTTCTAATTTGTGTTTGGTAGAGATGTGCACAATAACACATTGATACATGAACCTGAAAAGTTCTTTCTGGTTAATAGTGCATGGTAAAAACAACGTCTCATTTTTTGAGGAAAGAGTGAAAACTTTGAGGAACTCCCCTGATTTGACAAAAAAACTCCTCAGATTTAGAGGAAGTCACCTCAAAAAATATGGGATTTCACCTTATTTTTTTGAGAAGGTTCCTCTAAATCTGAGGCGAGATTAAGAGGACTCTTTCTCAAACAAGGGAGTTCCTCAAAGTTTTCCCTTAAAAATGAGACATTGTTTTTACCGTATGATAAAGGCTCAAACCAGTGCAAATAACCCTGAATATTGCTAGGGAATTTCTTTCGGTCATTTCTGTTGAACGGAAATGGAAAATGATGCTGTGCCAACATATTTAATAGTGC